ATTAATTTTTGGATGCTATCAATCTTGGGATTCTGTGCTTGGGGGAAAATGGGATTTGTTGCCAGCAAAAAACGAGCGTGAGCTCGACACTCTGATCAAATCTCTCAAGTTCAACGAACACAAAGATTTCCTCATGAGCAAAATTCGATGCCAAATAGATGCATGCCGTGGTAGATATGCCGTCAAGGATGAGAAGTTTTTTGGATTAATATGGCCGAGTCCACCCCGGTTTTTTTATGACTCGGAATGAACAAATTGAACTGTTTATACTTTTTGTTGTCATTACTGTTTCTTTTTAACTGTTTGTATGGACTGTTTGTTATTATTTGAGCTCTTCAAATTAACCGTACTTTGTCTTTTTTCCTTTTACTGTATGCAATATGTGTTATGGTCTAAAAATTTTGCCGGGCCGTCAAAATTGCTCATGAAAAAACTATCTATTTGGTGTAATTTGCTCACAAGGAGTAAATTATCTATTGAAAGAAAATACATTGAGTAAATAACTTTTTGATAAAAAATAACAAAATTTGAACAACTACAGCTGAAGTTAATGTTAATTGCAAAACCAAAATATGTTCCCGAAAATTTTGCCTTGTCAAACTATAGGTTCGCTATTTGAAAACACTCGAAAAAGGCTAAAATAAAGTATTTACATTTTAATTGAATTAATTGATTGAAATGAATTGATTAATTTAGATGCGAGTTTACTTCATAAGTTTGTTCAATTTGTTCACTATGCAGGAATTGAGATTGATGGTAGGAATTGGGATCGAAATTTGGTTACAGGAATTGGGATCGAAGTTTGGTTACAGGGATCGGGATCGAAGTTTGGTTACAGAAATTGAGATCGAAGTTGTGTTACAGGAGTTGAGATCAAAGTTGGTAACAGGAATTGGGATCGAAGTTGGGTTACAGGAATTGGGATGGAGGATGGGTTACAGGAATTAAGATCGAAGTTGGTAACAGGAAATGCATGCCGTGGTAGATATGCCGTCAAGGATGAGAAATTTTTTGGATTAATATGGCCGAGTTCACCCCGGTTTTTTTATGACTCGGAATGAACAAATTGAACTGTTTATAGTTTTTTGTTGTCATTACTGTTTCTTTTTAACTGTATGATCATCGATTTCATCTGATATCCTGAAAATTTGTAATGCATTTCCGGATGCAAGTGATTCTAAACGAAGCCTAATCGAGAGCCTATTTTTTCGAAAGCCTTAGAGCAAAACTAAGCAGTTTCAAGCTTTTGTTTGCTTCAAAATTTTCTGACATTCTCCTTCCGATCAACTCTCTAAAAGTGGTCAGGATGAACTATGGCGAGTTTCATTTCTCCACAGCTTTATGCATACGTCGAAGAATGATCATAAAGCTCAAGGGTGACATAAAAAAACTCCGTTATTCGGTTTCTAATAAAAAATTTTAAAAGTTTGTTCTGTCGAGTTTGTTCTGTTTTAAAATTTAAGGATTTTGGACCAAATTATTTCAGTAAAAATTGACTTGAGGCTGACCTCTGGTTTTTTTATTTTTTAAAAAACTCTTATTATGTTTTTTATTCCTTTTCTAATTGATGCCGAGTAATTAACTCTCCTAATTATCCCAAGGATTATCCTAACAGTACCGATAGCGGAAAAAAACATGTTATTTTCTTCAATTAAATACTCTCTACGCCCACAAAAAGCCATTGTATATCCTCTACCTATTGATTCCTTAGCATTCTTGTGAGCAGAATCCGGATTAAACTATCAAACCGTATTCTGTGGCCTCAGATTTTACTTGTTTTCTAGACTGTTCTAATAAATATGGACTATGATTATTTACTTTTGTTAAATGAACTTTACTTACTAGAGGTATGCTGATTATGTTTGTCATCAAAATTGCCAGCTATAATTGGGTAAATCAGTTTGCACAAACTCCAAATCATGCTGACATTTTATCACGTGATCAGGAAATTTGCACAACTTTTTGAAAATTAAAAAGTTGAAACTTGTATTAGGAAAACATTTAAATTTTTTCTCAAAAACAAAAATGGACCCTAAACACTTCATCTTCCAAATTTATGCCTTTTTGATAATATCAGGTTAGTTGAAAACTATCGTTTTTGCAGCCCTTTCTCGGCCTGTAGTAACTTTTTCAGCTCTGCGAACCGCAGAAGATCTAGCACATAAAGTCAAGACTGCCAGGGTTGACCCCATATCAGGAGCGGATCCAGAATTTTCTCGAGGGGGGAGTGGGCGGATTTGCAAAAATTTTTCGAAATTTTTGTCTATTTTTTTGTGGCCAAAGCTTCTGCGCCGTAGGCAAAAGTTTGATAAATTTAGCCACTTTTTGAAAAATTTTGACAAAAGGCGCCTTTAGAAAAATTTTAGGTTCCTTCAACCAATGAAGGTTACAATACAACAAAATGGTCCCTTTGGGTCGGTAGGAGGTTGAATACCTGAGCGGAGAGGGGGCGTCCACTCCCCTTCCCTAAGTCCGCCCCTGCTCTATAGACCGAAAATGCTAATCATACAATTCCATAAACCAAGTCTATGAAAAAAAACTAATCATACAAATTTCATACATTTTGCTAAAATGGTGCCATCGAAGTTTCAAAGGTTTTTTTTTTGTTTTGGCAATTTTTTTATTTTGGCAATTTTGTTTTTCAGGTAATTTTGATAGTCACAATAAATTCGACCTTCACCGCAAAATGTGTCCCACTTTTAAGCTAATTTAAGAGACCCGTTTTCGGCCAACAAAGCCTGAAATTTCTCTAGAAGCATTTTCGATGTGTCGAACAAACAACAGTTTTTTCCCAAATTTCTCTACTAATGTCTCAGCAAAAAAATGGCAAGGTTTTCTCAAAAATTTTTTTGCAAGTTCGATTATTTAATATCTGTAAACTTTGAAAAACCAATTTGGTAGCCCGATTGTTGTGATTCGATTTTAGTTTACTTTCATTTTACGTAATCTTCTGTGGTGATTAGATAGTTTATACCTGAGCTTCAACCTTTGGTCGACTTGCTCACTGCTTGACATTTTAGTTCAATTATTTAATTTTTTTTTAAATTGTTTTCAACTGTACTGTATACATATTTAGTAGCAGTATTAGAATTTTTTTTAATGGCCCAGTCAAATTGAATGAAACTACAAGGAATTCAATTTCTACCCTCTGGTCGAATCACACAGTCAAATTTCGACAACCTGGAATGAAGGAAGCGGACAGTTTTAATTGAAGACAGTTGCGAAAAAAAGTTTGATATTAAAAATTTAAGCAGATCAGAGTAACGGAGAATCAAATCCGATTCTCAAACAAGCAGCACATGAGGAGGCAGTTTCGGCTAGAACTAACAGAAACAAAAATAAGAATAGCAATACAAACTTTGTGAGTAAAAACGCATCAACGATTAGAAGAAGATATTCAATGGGACAAGGAAAGCTAATAACAATGCGCTTTATTTTATACCTCGCTCTGGCGAACCAAAGTAAACGCGTTTTTAACCAAAAAAAACTAAAGAATTGAAACATAACTTTATCTTTCATTGGGATCTTCTGAGCTGGATTTTTGATAAATCTCTGATTGCAAACCTTGACAGATACAAAAAAGACCTGGAATGCATCGAACAAATTTGGAGAGCTCTTACAGATTTAGCCAGTAAATGCAATATCAAGAAATTAGACGAATGGATTAAAGAGGCAGCGAGACCAGAGAAAAATCCCTATTTATGATAAAACCTAAAGGAAGTCCAGCTTTCAATGGCGAAAAACTTTGTTATAACTATCAAAAACAAACTCGCATTTCTTATCATCATATTCCTGGCTTGATTTTAAATCATTCAAGGTAAAAAGTCACGTGAAAAAATAACCAAATCTCAACCTAGAGGGGAGTAACCTATGTTTTAGAAAACGCGATCAGTAAGGGTAACTTGGACATAAGACCAGTGAAAGAAATAATTGTGATGAATTGTAAATATAAAGAAAAGTTGCGAAACTTTGAGAATCAACACAAAAACGTATAACTTTCATACAGTAAAAGCCGTAGTCAGCGTTTTTTCTTCTCCAATTTGGTCAGTCTCCTCCAACACTCCTTTTGATCTGGAAACATAGGATGACATTATTGAGGATTTTTTGAAGGCGTAGCAGATAACAAGCGGTTGATTATCCGGGAACACAATTGGTTCAAGAATCTAGTTCAGGCAAATTTTTTACAGGAATTGATCAGCAGTAAGCTTCAGAAGTAATAGTCCAAGACAGCCTACCGGTCATTTGCAGACAAAGCTTAAGCTGGATACTTTAATACATAAATTGATACATTGGACACTATGTGAAAAACTCTGCAGAGGAAAACGAAGCCTAATCGAGAGCCTATTTTTTCGAAAGCCTTAAAGCAAAACTGCAGTTTCAAGCTTTTGTTTGCTTCAAAATTTTCTGACATTCTCCTTCCGATCAACTCTCTAAAAGTGGTCAGGATGAACTATGGCGAGTGTCATTTCTCCACAGCTTTATGCATACGCCGAAGAATGATCATTAAGCTCAAGGGTGACATCAAAAAAACTCCGTTATTCGGTTTCTAATAAAAAATTTTAAAAGTTTGTTCTGTCGAGTTTGTTCTGTTTTAAAATTTAAGGATTTTGGACCAAATTATTTCGGTAAAAATTGACTTGAGGCTGACCTCTGGTTTTTTTATTTTTTAAAAAACTCTTATTATGTTTTTTATTCCTTTTCTAATTGATGCCGAGTAATTAACTCTCCTAATTATCCCAAGGATTATCCTAACAGTACCGATAGCGGAAAAAAACATGTTATTTTCTTCAATTAAATACTCTCTACGCCCACAAAAAGCCATTGTATATCCTCTACCTATTGATTCCTTAACATTCTCGTGAGCAGAATCCGGATTAAACTATCAAACCGTATTCTGTGGCCTCAGTTTTTACTTGTTTTCTAGACTGTTCTAATAAATCTGGACTATGATTATTTACTTTTGTTAAATGAACTTTACTTACTAGAGGTATGCTGATTATGTTTGTCATCAAAATTGCCAGCTATAATTGGGTAAATCAGTTTGCACAAACTCCAAATCAAGTTGACATTTTATCACGTGATCAGGAAATTTGCACAACTTTTTGAAGTTTAAAAAGTTGAAACTTGTATTAGGAAAACATTTAAATTTTTTCTCAAAAACAAAAATGGACCCTAAACACTTCATCTTCCAAACTTATGCCTTTTTGATAATATCAGGTTAGTTGAAAACTATCGTTTTTGCAGCCCTTTCTCGGCCTGTAGTAACTTTTTCAGGTCTAGGAAACCGCAGAAAATCTAGCGCAGACAGTCAAGACTGCCAGGTTGACCCCATATCAGGAGCGGATCTAGAATTTTCTCGGGGGGGGGGGGCGGATTTGCAAAAATTTTTCGAAATTTCTGTCTATTTTTTTGTGGCCAAAGCTTCTGCGCCCTAGGCAAAAATTTGAAAAATTTAGCCACTTTTTGAAAAATTTTGACAAAAGGCGCCTTTAGAAAATTTTTAGGTTCCGTCAACCAATAAAGGTTACAATAGTACAAAGCGGTCCCTTTGGGTCGGTAGGAGGTTGAATCCCTGAGCGGAGAGGGGGCGTCCATCCCCTCCCCTAAGTCCGCCCCTGCTCTATAGACCGAAAATGCTAATCATACAATTCCATAAACCAAGTCTATGAAAAAAAAAACTAATCATACAAATTTCATACATTTTGCTAAAATGGTGCAATCGAAGTTTCAAAGGTTTTTTTTTTGTTTTGGCAAAAAATGCGGTGTATCGTGCTAGATAAAAAGAAAAAATTTTTTGTCAGAAAAATGCTAATCATACAATTTCCATATACGGAAATAGCATGACTAGCTTTTTTTTATTGCGACAACAAAATGTTTTCTAGTAATTTTGAAATTGCCTCAAAATGTTTTTGGTGTCTTTCCAACCGCAAATCGAGTTTTTTACTGAATTAAACAACTTCCAAAAAAAGGTTGCTTGCCAATATTAATTTTTTGTGTGCATAACGTAGTCCTGGATGCCCTAATGTTGGTTTTTTTTCCTTTTTGCGTAATAAATTTTTTCAAAAACGCTAAGAAATTTTTTTTGCATGGCATGTTTATGTTTTCCTTGATCAGAGTTTAAAAATTAAAAATGCAAAAAAAATTTGCCAAAATTTGTAAGTTTGTTACTTTCCTTCTATCAATTGTGTAGGACAGTTCTAAGATTTTTCGCTTTCTATGCACTGTAAATGCAAGACCGTCCAATCTTTGGTGACGCCAGCTGTGAGTTATCTAAGATTTTTGTCACTTGCGTTCCGTTACGAACACAACCACCAGCAGATTTAGGGGAGGGGACGGGGCCCCCCTTTTTTTACTATTCTGAGTAATCTATTCTTTCTGACGGACCTTAGGTTTTTTTCTTAGGGCGCATTTGGCACCAATGTATACTAATTTTGAAGGGGGGAGCTCGCGCAGTTTTTGGTCGAAATTTTACAAAAAGTGCCTAAAACAATTTTTTTTGCCTGTTTTTTCAAAACTTTGCCTGCGGCGCAGAAAAATTGGTCAAAATGGGGTCTTTATAGTGATTTAGCAAAGCTCAGAAAATCAATTTAGTTACCTAAAAAAAGTCGACAAAATTTTCGAAATTTTTTGAAAATACCCCCTCCCCCCTCGAGAGAATCCTAGATCCGCAACCAAAATTTTCAGGAATTGAAGTTAGAAAAAAAACTAACTTTTTGTTTTATAGAATAATACTATCATACTATTTTCATATGTGGAAAAATGCTTATCATAGAGATATCATACAACTTTCTGTATGTGTGGAGTTGTATGGTTAGATGTTTTGGTCAACCGGGGTGTCTAAGGATGGTTCATTTGATGTCATTTTCCACATTTTAGACCTTCGTTTTTGTGAGCAAGCCCCTTTTTTGCCGTTTTCACGTCTTAAACTTCCACCTGCTACCACACCAGCAAGCTGAAATTGGTGGGGCTGTCGCACAATGAAATTTGAAGTCAAGTGAAAACTCTTCTCCTCCCTTGTAGATCAAACTTTGCGTCGCAAGATATACAATTTGATAGCCTTTGATATAAGTAAATATAAGGGGAAATAAACATTTGACCTAAACCACCAGGGCAAGGCGATAGCTTGTCAAAAGCGACACCTGGTAATATTTGTAAGAAGCGGCAGTTCTTAAAACGCATTGGCATGTAGTGACCGCTTTCTCCGCTCGACCGAGCTGTCGCCTCACGAACAACCGGGTTATGTTGATCTGGCCCAATTTTTGGTTTTCGCCAAGTGCGAGTGAATGGCAGTTTCATTGATTTTAACTTGTTGTTTTTTCATTCGAAAGGAGAACAACTTTGAATTTGCTGGTCTGTTCAAGGTTTCAAAGAACTTAGAGACGCTTGATGAACTGATTTTGCACTTTCAGCGTACCTCTTCGGGAATTCATGTTGCAGCCGTATTGCCCAGATTGATGTGGGGAAGCCAGATGCCAAATTTTCTATTAATGCTCCCTCTTCTGACTGGGAATCACTCATTTTCAGAATAGCCAATGGAGTGGGAACATTTGGAAAGGAATGCCGCAAGCACAGGTAATTTTGATAGTCACAATAAACTCGACCTTCACCGCAAAACGTGTCACATTTTTGTACTAATTTAAAAGAACCGTTTTTGACCAACGAAGCCTGAAATTTCTCTAGAAGCGTTTTTCATGCGTCGAAAAAACAACAATTTTTCCCCAAATTTCTCTACTAATGACTCAGCAAAAAAATGGCAAGGTTTTTTCAATTAGTTGCGGCGCAATCTCTCTTTTTTTGCAAATTCAGTTTTTTATTGTCTGTAAATTTTGAAAAACCAATTTGGTAGCCCGATAGAGGTGATTTGATTTTAGTTTGCTTTCATTTTACGTAATCTTCTGTAGTGATTAGATAATTTATACCTGAGCTTCAACCTTTGGTCGACTTGCTCACTGCTTGACATTTTAGTTCAATTATTTAATTTTTTGTTTAAGTTGTTTTCAACTGTACTGTATACATATTTAGTAGCAGTATTAGAATTTTTTTAAATGGCCCAGTCAAATTCAATGAAACTACAAGGAATTCAATTTCTACCCTCTGGTCGAATCACACAGTCAAATTTCGACAACCTGGAATGAAGGAAGCGGACAGTTTTAATTGAAGACAATTGCGAAAAAAAATTAGATTTTAAAATTTTAACCAGACCAGAGTAACGGAGAATCAAATCCGATTCTCAAACAAGCAGCACATGAGGAGGCAGTGTCGGCTAGAAATAACAGAAACAAAAATAAGAAACGCAATACAAACGTAGTGAGTAAAAACGCATCAACGATTAGAAGAAGATAATCAATGGGACAAGGAAAGCTGATAACAATACGCTTTATTTTATACCTCGCTCTGGCGAACCAAAGTAAACACGTTTTTAGCCAAAAAAAAACTAAAGAATTAAAACGTAACCTTATCTTTCATTGGGATCTTCTGAGCTGGATTTTTGATAAATCTCTGATTGCAAACCTTGACTGATACAAAAAAGGCCTGGAATGCATCGAACAAATTTGGAGAGCTCTTACAGATTTAGCCAGTAAATGCAATATCAAGAAATTAGACGAAGCTGAGCGAATAGATTACAGAGGCAGCGAGACCAGAGAAAAAACCCTATTTATGATAAAACCCAAAGGAAGTCCAGCTTTCAATGGCGAAAAACTTTGTTATAAAAATCAAAAACAAACTCGCATTTCTAAATCATCATATTCCTGGCTTGATTTTAAATCATTCAAGGTAAAAAGTCATGTGAAAAATAACCATATCTCAACATAGAGGGGAGTAACCTATGTTTTAGAAAACGCGTTTAGGAAGGGTAACTTGAACATAAGACCAGTGAAAGAAATAATTGTGATAAATTGTAAATATAAAGAAAATTTTCGAAACTTTGAGAATCAACAAAAAAATGTATAACTTTCATACAGTAAAACCCGGTACACATAAAAAAAAACATATTGGAACCTGATCCAAACTGTATATTATTATTGGTTCTAAATTAGATAATTTATCCCTATAAAATATTGCAGACTAACCAATCATACTCCATCTAACTAACAACCCACTTATTTGTAAGTGCTGAAACTACTTGTAGTTTCAGCACCAGAGCATTCTGAATTTAACTTACAGCTTAGTTGCCTTTTCCAAGAGACCAACTCGTAACAAACCAGTATACTCTAGATCTATTGAGACTAAGAGATATAAGATAAGATTAAGATCGGTATTAGACTAAGAAGTTGCAAGAATCTATCCGGCCGAAAATAAGATAGCGTGACGAGCAGACGGTGTACCTTATCTGAAAATACTCTATGAGTTAGACCATGAGTCCCAAATCATCTGGTGCGACCATAAGTCTCGAATAAGACCTTAAGCAATCGAATACTTTAGAACTAACAAAAAATAGATTAGACTTAGACAAAAACATTCACAAAAATGTTAAACGACAATAGTTTAATTGAAATGTCTCTACGACTCAATAGATCAGAGCCATCATTCCGAACAATACTAGAACTCCCTGGTATTGGAAGAAGACCTCGGACAAGAGACGATATACGACTACAACGGAATTTACTCACAAGTTTCATGATCGTACGGCAAAAGCCAACACAAACTTTTATATTTAGAGTTTTATTAGCAATGAATTTAGATTTTCATTTGCAGACATAGTATAGTTGAAGAAAATTCTTCAACAATAATTACAGGCGCTAAACCTATTATTGTACAAAAACGATTGATAAAAAGATCTCTAATCGTTTCTTTGAAACTGCAGTAAACTAAATTGAAAAGATATCTGAAAAGAATGTTTCTTGAAAATAGAAAATAAAAATTAGTTAGTAAATACAAAAATTGTTAGTAATATACAAATCATTTCTTCATCTCAGCTTCATCACCTAAACCTATATCAATCATCACCTATATCATATAGGCTTCATCACCTATATCAAGCAAATCATAAACCACTAACATCATAAAAAACTAAAAATTAAACTTTAAATTACTTTAAAAAGGCCTATTCTAATTTTTACTTTTACCTAAATCAAAGCTTTTAAACTAAATAGATCATCAAGGTTTCCCTTGGATCTCCATTTCATTTTAAAACCAATTAAACTTTATATCATTAATTTATATCTTGATCATCAAGGCTTATCCTTGGATCAAATAGAACAATTTTGTTCTCCCCCACACATTAACATAGTGTTTAACAACCTAAACTATCGATTCACTATCCAACCCTTTCTACGACCCAGGATTAGGAGAAATTTTTCAATATCACTAACCATTCTAAAAAGATAAACAGTGAAGAACTTCGGTTATTCATCCTTCACTTGATCCCCCCTCTTACCTCACCCAAGATTTTTCTTAAACTTAGTAAGTTTAAAATAGTATCTAACGAACTAATTGTGTTCTAATTATACCTGAACCTTGTGGATCGATTTACTATTCTCCAACCCTTGAACACAATCATTGCCCCTAAGTAAGATTAAGTAAGTTAACGCCTTAGCTTAAACTAGCCACGAGAAAGTAACAATCATTCTTCGAAATCAATATTTGCTTTTCTCTCCAACCCTAAACAACAAGACCCAGCCTAAGCTAACCCGAAAAAATTGTAAGGACTAATAGTTTAAGCACTTCAAACAGACGACGTAGATATAGAATTTTGAAAAGTATTCACAAAATATATAAAAAATATACAACACCAAAATTCACAAAGAGCAAATTCAATGTTTACTGATAAAGTATTTTGAATAATTTATAGCTATTTATCTATATTAGAAAAACGAGAATCTCAAGGATTTTCACCAAATCAGACATCAAAACATACAACTGTAAGACATGATATCACAATATTTTCTGAATATTTCAACTTAATCCGTGAAAACTTAAGCAGCAACGACGTTTCACAAAACGAAAAACACGATTTACAAAAAATCTTAGCATGGTTCATCATAGATTATTTCACACATAATCTTGATTTATTCTCACAAGCAAGAAAAATTTTCATCCCCAAAATTCAACAGATGATACAGCATTAGCAGAAGATTCAGATTATGTTTGAGACTCTGAATGGTCTCATCCATTATTCATTAACATACCAACAGATATTTCAAGTCAAGCCATTAGCACAATAACTATACACAAAGATTATATTAAGATATACCCACTCACAACTGATGCAACACCTTGAAACTATAATTCATTCCTACCCGATAGAACACGGAATAATACCCTAAATTCAACTGTCATACGACCAGAAAATCCAAAGCGAACTAGGAATCTCACACAACAAGATATTCAAGCATCATCACATCTCACAAATGAAGAAGTAGTCACCACAGTAGTAACAACAGCACAACAAAGTATTTCACCAATACATCCAAACCTTACAACTCCAAGACCAAAAAACCCATTTTTACTACAAGTAACACTACAATCTACGGTTAAGCCCACCATTGAACCAAGATACCCACACGTGAGCTATCAACCCTTTAGACCAATGATGAAACCGATACAAAAACAAAGAACATTCACTAGAAACAACTTTGCGGAACACAATTATAACTATGTAAATAGACCACAAACGTCTAAACCTCCTCGTACAAACCCGCATAATCGTTCATTTCCACAACAACAAAATTCCCAACAACAAACATCAAATTTCGTAAATTTTAATGATAACCAACGAAATCCAACAGATCCAAGTGAAAACTATCCATTTTTTAAACAAAATAAAAATCATAAAAAACTATACCAATACAAACAAAAAACACCTTACTATAAACCTAATTATCAGATGATGACAATTTTCATGACCAAAACCATCAACAAAATTCTCAAGCCCAAAGAATCCAGTCTTATCACGTAAATCAACCAGATATTTTTGAACCATATACACGAGAACAACATATGCGACAACCTAGACCAAATTACGAACCTCAAAATAATAGTTTTTATGCACAAAATCCAGCAAATACTGACTATTATCAACCAACACAAATGCAAAACGAAATACCACTACCATATTATTTACAACAACATGAAATAACAAAAAATCAACCTACAATTTTTTCACAAATGCCAAATGCCGCAGAATCACTACAGATGACTATGAATCCATACCTCGTGGGTGGATCATCAATAACATCAAATAAACCATTGATGGTATTCACTGGCACAGATCCTGAATATTTTGTAGAAGACTATTTAAATGCAGTCACAGCAAATTTAATTTTAAATATAGGACCTGAACCCATAAATACGCCACTTCACCAGAATTGGATACATAGACGCACAGCGTTAATACAAACCACACTTGACGGCGCAGCTCAAAAATGGTTTTCAGTTCTACCTATAGAAATAAAATCAGATTGGAAACGATTTACACAAGAATTTTCAAAAATGTTTGATTCAGAAAGAAACAAACAACATCAAAGAGTTTTATGTAATGAAATTCGTATACTACCAAATGAAACGATCAAACAATTAGCAGTAAGGATCGAAACACTAATCCGAAAAGCATACTCACTTAATACTCATAA